TTCATTTAATTTGGCACTGGGTTGCTGTGGGATCCATGCACTAAAACTGACAGCAGGAAGCACCTTTCTGTCTCCAGTGGCAGAGAAAATTACCTGTTTTAAATGTAGAGCACACAAAAACAGAGCCTGTCAGGGGTTGGAAGAAGAGTAGAATGGGAAATATATTGAGGGGGACAGGGTGGAAGGCTGACTGGAGAAGAGAAAAATTAGGACTGGAAGTTGGGATAAGAAGAGTCAGGAACTAGCTGGGCAAGGAGACTGGGACTGGAATGAGAAGCTTGATTGAATGGAGGCTAGGACTGGTTGTCAGGAGAATGGAACTTTGATGTGGGACCAAGATGGAAAGAGACAGTCCTGGGACAGATAGAGAGAGAGATAAGAGACATAAGAAGTCACACTGGGAAAGAATGCGCAAAAGAGCCTGTGACAATTAAAGCACACTCCTCTCTAACGCCTGGAATGGAATACAAGATTCCTGAGTGTCATCATTTCTTTGCAAATTCCTTTGTATTATTCTTTTGAAAAAAGAGCATTGCATAATATTTTAACTCTGAGAGTCAAGTCCTGGGTGTCTCCTTGACTTACTGTGTTACCCTTGGCAACTCATTTAACCAGCTGTACATTGGTTTTGCCATCTGTGAAATAAAGATACATATCATCCTTTTAAAATGTTTTAAAATCTAAGGCTCAAAAGTGTTATGAGAGCTAAGTATTATGACTACAATGTGTTATTTTTTGGCTGGTCTATATTTAACGAAGTAATACACATAACACCCTACTTTTTTATACAGCTGCAGAGTTGTAAATCCTCTGGTTGGCTAAAATTGTAAATTATATGTAGATTTAATACAATAAATGCATATGCAATTGGTGACTTTCTAATGGTCACCTCTGTCAACAAGCAATGTGCAGGCGAACAATGGAAATTAGAATACTGTGAAAAGCAGTGTAATTGAACAGTGAACATAAACACATCAGAACAATCATATTGGGTCAGACCAAAGGTCCAATTATCCCAGTGTTCTTTCTTCTGACAATAGCCAATACCAGGTGCCTCAGAGGGAATGAACAGAACAGGTGATAGTGATCTATCCCCTGTCATTCATTCCCAGCTTCTGACAAACAGAAGTTAGGGACACCATTCCTGCCCATGCTGGCTAATAGCTATTGATGGGCCTATCTTCCATAAATTTATCTAGCTCTTTTTTGAACCCTATTATAGTTTTGGACTTCACAAAATCCTTTAGCAAGGAGTTACACAGGTTAACTCCATGTTCTATGAAGAAGTACTTGCTTTTGTTTGTTTAAAACCTGCTATATATCAATTTCATTTGGTGACCCCTACTTCTTGTGTTATAGGAAGAAGTAAATAATGTATTTATCTAGTTTTTCAACATTCATCAAAGGATAGCAATAAATATTCAGTTTTCAGAATGAAGAGTGGCAAATGATGGGGTTCCCCAAGAATTTGTGGTGGGATCTACACCTTTCAACATATTCATTAATTGTCTGGAAAAGGGAGTAAACATGAAGTGGGCTAAATTTGAAAAATAACTGGATGTAGTTAAATCCAAAGCTGACTTTAGAGGATAAAAATGGGATCAAACTAAACAAGGTGACAGGGCAAAAAAATGGCAGATGAAATACAATGCAGATAACTGCAAAGTAATGCACATTGGAAGAAAATAATCCCAACTATATACATAATATGATGGAGTCTAAATCAGCTGTTACCATTCTGAGCTTGAAGTCATCATTGGTAGTTTTCTGAAACATCTGCTCAATGTACTACAGCAGTTTAAAAAAACATGTTGGGAACCATTCAGAAAGGGATAGATAAGAAAATAAAAATAACATAATGCTGCTATATAAATCCCATGGAATTCTTATATTGAAACTGGAAAATGTGCAGAAAATGAACAACAAATGGATTAGGGATATGTAACAGTTTCCATATGAAGTAATTAAAAAGACTACGACTTTTCAATTTAGAAGAAACATGATATAGAGGAGAATCTATAAAATCATGAATGATGTGTCAACAGTAAATAAGGAAGGCCACGTCTACACTATATGCTTCTTTCGGAAGAAGCTTTTCCGGAAGAGATCTTCTGGAAAAGCTTATTTCGAAAGACAGTGGCCACACAGCAAAAGCTCAATGAAAAAGTCATGTGCACATTGATTGTACGCTATCTCGCATTTCAGTTGTGATTCGTATGGATGGAGTGGCCACCAGGGCACCTATGTTATTTCCTGGAGAGGCCTCTTCTTTCAAAATAACTCCCTCTTCCCCGTCCACACACATCAAAAGCTTTTTCAGAAAAAGGTTTCTTCCTCATGGAAAGAGGTTTACCACCATCAGAAAAAAACTTCTGTTCTTCAACTTTCTGTTGAAAGAACTCAATGGCAATGTGGACGCAAGTATTGTTTTTCTGGAAAAACACTGCAATGTAGACACACCCGCGGTGTTGTTTACTTCTTTACATAACCAGAGGTCCCCAATTTAATTAACAGGGAGCAGGTCTAAAAGAAACATAAGAAAATACTTCTTCAAATAATGCAGTCAACTTGTGGAACATAGTGCCATGGAATGTTGTTATAGACAAAAGAATAAATGAATTCAACAGCAACAACAACAACAAAATCAGATAAGTTTCTGGGGCATAGTTACATCAATGAAACTTGATGGAGCAAGATGGTCAGGGACACAACCTCCTATATCAGGTGACCCTAACACATCCATGTTAGAAGCTGGAACTGGACGACAGATGGACCATGCAAAATTGTCCTGTTCTTTGAATTCCCTTTGAAGAATTTAGTACTGGCTATTTTCAGGATATGAGATTAGAAGGACCATTTGTATGTTTTTATATAATCAGTTAAACAAATGAGTAAAGTTACTCACTTGTTTAAATATTTGGAGTACTGGGTTATAAAGCAGAAATTGTATCCCTCACTGAATCAAGAATGTTTTTGTCATGTTGAGCATGATGACTTCCTTAAAAATACTCTGAGATACTTCCACAGACTTCAGATCAGATCTTCTGCATTCATCCTTTTTCTCTTTATTGGTCTGTAAGTGCTTAAGTTAATTTCTTTTCTCTCTTCAAACTGAAAAGTGCTCACAACAGGCTAGGGAAATGTTTAACATCAAGCACTAGAGATACATGTAGTTCTTGACTCAACTGATGTACTTTAGAATTTATTTCCAGCTAAAAGCATTGTAAAAGAGCAGAAAATCTTTTTTTTTTAAACTGGCTACTTAGAGTGGTTCAAGGAAGAATATGATTCACATTTAAGTTATTTTTGTCAGAAACCTAATTTTAGATTAAGACCACATGGCTCAAGTATCCCCTGAAGAAAAAAAATCAAGCAATTTGCGGACTTTATTCAAAACTTAACAACTCATTTTTGCTAGGTGCATGCCTTCCAGAAATGATCTTGTAAAAAATTGAAAGCATAATGGAATACTTAATTTGTTCATTGTAGTTACACTTCTGGGGCTTGAGTTCTGGTTCAGTCAACAAACTAATTGGCACATTCGATAGCTGTTACATCTGTTAGTGACTACAAATAGGATTCTAAGGGACAAGAATTTCAGAAGGGTCTCATACTGAACATAGTTGTAGTTCTCCGGTGTTTACTTCTGCCTTCTCTTGCTGTGAGAGCGAGCTTATAAAGCATGAAGCTGCAAATGGTGTGGATATTTAAAGTTGTTGACTCTCATTACTTATTACTGACTTAATAGGTTAGTGCTAATGAGCCTGTTCACTAGCTGTTTCTTCATACTCAATGTTCTAAGCCAACAATTAATTTGAAATTCCACTAGGATGAGGGAGAGAAAGTGGGAAATTTTATTTTTATATAGGAAGACTCATATTGAATTGCTTCTACTTCAAAGTAAAGATGGGATGAGAAAAGTAAACCAGAATGTTCCTTTGTTAAATCTCCTTCTGCAGTCACAACAAATCCACTGTATAGGGTGATAGCAATATCCCCTAGGCAATCAAAACATAATGGAAACGGGGATGTACTGATAATCTCCAAATGTAAGGTGTTCCCATGCTACAATTAACCAATACATTTCAGGGATAGCCACTGTCTAAATTGTCAACTATAGACACCACAAATTTATTTATTTTGAATATTTTGGTGCCAGATTTTATATCACAGTCCTCAGAGATGAGAAAATGAAACTAAGCATCCCCTACTAAAAACAGACTAAAAAAATGAGCTAGGTTTGTAATATTTACTAGAGGATATGTGTCACTTATGTTCTTTCAGTAATTAAAGCATCACTTGCAAGAAATAATTTCATTTTTTATTATTATTGCCAATACAGATTTTTTAAAAAATACCTGTTTTTCCCTTTACCTATAAAATAAAATACACATGAAGATTTTTTTTCTAAAATTGTTGTATTAAATTCTTAATATAAAAAGTTGTCTCCAGTAGCTGGAAATCTACAGTCCTGTTTGCAAGATAAACATTTTCTCAAAAAACAGCAATTCTTGGGTTTTACTATAGTTCACACACAAGGGCAACAGGGTATTGGATTTTAAATTCCCTTTGTGCTAGAGAAGAGTAGAATAATAACTTCTCCATAATATATACAAGTAATTTTAGATGGCATAGTACCCTGACACCTAAGGATATCACAAAATAGAGTTCTTAGGGGACTTTTTAAAAACATACAATAGTTTCACTTTTACTTTTATTATAAAAGATTGAAGGCACTCAAATGAGAACAATATAAATAATTGAATGGATAGATACATTACTAAGTTTTTTTTATCCCAAAAACACGTAAGCATTTGAATAAGTTCGATCATGTCGGTAGTTCCATGGAATTCAAGGGGCTACCCACATGAGTAAATTTACATCCGTAAGTGTTTTATAGGGTAAAGCCTTAAAATAAAATAAAAAAATAGGTCAGTAGAGCATCTGTTTACTTGCATATGCAATATGAATATTGTTGATACTTTTTTGTTTTCTTCTAGGCTTTTTCAGGAAATACAAATGCAGACAGTGTTGTGTACTATAAACTTCAACATTCCATCAAAGCAAGATTTCTCCGTTTTGTCCCTTTGGACTGGAATCCCAATGGTAGAATTGGAATGCGTATAGAGGTTTACGGCTGTACATATAGTAAGTCTTTGCTGAATCATCTGAATGAAATAATGTTTTTTTTACCTAATCTGTAAATGGAAGTAGATTTGTCAGCTTCATTATTTGAATATTATTCATTTTAATATTTCATGCAGAGATGTTACCTGTTTCTACATTATCTAGCAATGTTTTCCTTATTATCCAGTTCTTTACATCTTAAGCTCAATAGTATCAAGCATATGGATGCAATCCAGTAATGCTAGTTCACCCCAAACTCCTAATGCTATTGTTGCACACTTCACGTATAAAAGTAGCTGTTCAGAAGGGAAAATATCCACTACTTTGGATTCATAAGGCCCCTGGAAGGTTATTGATGTTGGAGCCACAGCAAGCATTTACTCTGCTCTAATTTTGGTCTCCTCATAAATCAATACTACTTCAATGTTATTACTTATATTAAGAGTACATTTATAAATAGTTTGTGCAAGATTATTATGTGAGTAATAGATGTTGCAAGCATGTTGCAGATATCAGTAGTATGTGTTTTAGTTGGTCATAAGCCACCTGTTGGACACACAGTTCTTCCTTGGTTTTGCCTGTGTGTGTGTGTGTGTGTGTGCGCGTGTGTGTTACTTTTCTCTATTGGTTCTCCTTCTTTGTCTCTTGCCTTTTCTTCCATTAATCTTGCAACAGGTTGTCCTTTTTTTTCCCTGGCTCCCACTGTTCATGAGCAAAACCAGAGGACTGTACCTGCCAGCTCCCTTTTTTCACTTTAAGTTCCATTTCTTTATTCACAAGATTTTAATTACCACAACCTACCTGTACCTCCTAGATTGTTCCCATTCATCCAATACAGAATCTTTTCCATTTTCTCCCTCTTCTCTGTTAGGTCAAATATAACATGGCTAAAAGTAAACTCCTTGGTTGAGACTTTCATCCTCACTCTAGCCTCTTTACATTGTATATAAGAGAAGCATACAGCAAACCAGAAAGCCAGGAGTATTCTCACAGCACAGAAACTGAAGAAGACAATCCTAAAATTGCCTCCTAAAGACCATCTCCCGAGTCCTAGCAAGAAGTAATACTAGAGGCAGGGATGTGGGTAAAAAAGGGTGTGTCTGTCAAAGCCACAGCACTGCAGAGATTGTGTCCTACTGGGAAGTCTAGAGAATCTGCTCTAACTTATGCAGGACTCCAGAATTGTACATGAAGGGCCTTTTAGAACCACCTCCCCCCACACAGCATCCAAGACTTAAAGCCATCTTTGCCACCCCCACTGCCTTTTCCTCAGGTTCTGAGTTCTATGTTGTGTCTCTTAGAGGCACTGGACAGAATCTCACTCCTTATCTTTTCTAGTCTTGCTATGCTGCCAATCATTGATACTACTACCAGATTTCATGTCACTGAGTCCAATAATGCAGGGGTCAACTATGCCTCCTCCCTGTTCCTGGCCTTACATGTGTAAACTATATCCAAATTCTGCTTTTACAAGATTGTAGCATTTTTTCCCTACTAGAACTCTTGCCCAAGACCCCCATCATCTGTTTTGGTTACAATAATCTTCCTTTCTTTTCCCTTATGACCTACACCCTCATCCCTACCCTTTAGCTCACAGAAAACATAACTGTTAAGCTCTTCTTTTCCACAATGGTTTGACTTTGTCTCTCTTTCTTGCTTTTTCCATCTTGCTTCGTCCATTCGATCCCCTTCCTCTGCTCCATTAAGTTTAAGCTCCTGCTTATACCAGCTTTTCCCTACTTATCCACTCTTGGGGTTTTTTTTCTTTCCATGTTAAGCTCCATCCCTTCTGTTTTGCCACCTATGCCATCTTTGACACTTCATTTGGTTGGCTGCCCTGTAAGTGTGTCTGTACTTTGTTCCATGTTACCCCTCTGTGTGGCACATTGTTTCTATTAATTTCCTAAAGGATACTGCCCTTTTTTAAATCAAATCCGTCCAGAAGAACTACTTTTATCATGCTGCCTGTAAGAAGCAAACAATACGATTGTGACAAAGAAGTAGGCCACAAAGGGAAATTCAGTTATTAAACTATTAAATAAATAATGAAAGATTATGTTGTTAAAATATTATATTATTAGGACGTAGCAAATTAACATCAGATACTTTTGTTACGTGGTGTAAATACTTTTGTTCCCAACCTTCTGGTTTTTTCTGCCTGATTTTGTTTTAATAAGTAAGCTCTTCATGGCAGAGACCGTGCTATTTATGTAGAGCGTCAAACATCAAGTAACACCTACCAGAAATAGATAAATAATAACTTTTAACTCTGCCATTTTAAGAGTTAGCCTTTGTGTCCTCCACGTAACAGGTCGAGTTGAGTAACAGGCTGAGTTGAAGTAACTAAAGAAGTGATAGTCAGGTAACCCAATTTAGCTATAATGAAGGATGTGACAGGCAGTCCACAGTGCCATTATATATTTTAATCTGGATCTGTTGATAACTTTCTTTCTCAAGGTATGTGACATTGCATAATGACACTGCACACTGGTGTGATATTTCAATGATAAATGCACAAAAAGGGTACCTGACAAGCAAGGATAGAAGGAACTTGCTGTGGGATTATTCACTTATGAGAAAACAAATTTAGGCATAAAAAAGGCTTAATCTGTTTATTAGGATAAAGAGTAATGTTGGCCTGATTTTGGCTCTTTTCCCCATTGCTATCTTTGTTTGGTCAGAGATGATACTAAGACGCATTTGGTGAGGAGTTGCCAGGCCAGCAAAGATTGATCAGGCAAGGAAGACACAACAACAGGAAATCAGTGAATATATTACCATTTTAGTAGGTGCAGTGATTTCCCATTCAAGAATTAACTATCCCTCAGAGCTGGTTGGAAAGGACACTGTACAGGTGTGTATCAGGGAGTCAGATATTATCTTGGAAGACCTCATGAAATAAGCAAATTCTTTTCTAGCTGCCTGGCAAAGTGGGGATAACATCTAAGCCTCCTTTCTTAGGAGCAATGACACTTAAGACATCTTACTGTCATCTCCTTCAGTAGATTCCTGTGTAGAGGGTAGGAAAGGCTCCAGTGTGAGGTCCTATAACCTGATGGGCTGCTTGGGCACAGGCTCAGGCATAATTTTATATTAGTGTAACCCAAGCCTAGGACTCCCCTCATCTCATCTCTTCTATGGATGAAGGACATGGATTAGGACTCTGACTTCCTAAGGGTATAGGACAGGCATTGCCATCATACCCATTCTCAGGTCTAGAGGACTGGAGTCATTAGTGCCCAATCAAATTCCATGCTGGATCAACCCTGCTGAGTAGTTAGAGGTTCTTTGTTAATACTTCAATAACTTTCTGGCCTCTTCATGTGACCATATACTGGAGTCTCTGTCTGTTACTGCATCCCAATCTGCAATGATTTTTATTCACTGAACTTTTGCATCCCAAACTGTTCATTGGGCATTTCTCTTCCTACCTTTGGCTTGGAGGAACAGGGGAAGAGCAAGAATGATTTATGCTATTGCTTATAGGGAGACGCCTATCCTAAAGCCAGGGGCATATCCTCCTGTGAGAATGGCTTCTGAGTTGACTGGGGGAGAGTGTTGAGAACTCTTCCTGAAGTACTCAGTTGATCATGCAAAGGGTGCAGGCAGCCAAGCAGGGAGGGTATCCCTTTCCTTCCTCCATCCCACCCACCTCTGCACACACTTTATGTTAATAAACCTTCAAATTTATTGTATTTATTACAGCAACAAACCTGTTTCTAGGTCTGTGGTTGTGTGTGGGGAAGTGAGGGTAGTAGTTCCTTTTCTAAGGTATTTCACCTTTCTCTTCCATGCAGTATAATGCTGTTCCAAGTATATGACATCAAAAGCCACTAGCCTGCATGCATTTTTGCATGTAAGATTACTTTTGCTTAAAAACTTTCCTATGGCTCAACTGATTCCCCTTTGTACAATTTCTACACTGAGTTTTGGAGAAGGCCAGAGGCCTTTAAATACATTTTCCCTCTAATCATATGCCACAGCAAGGCTATTTGAGAGGAAATATACATTGCATCATGGCTAGCACTAATTCTAAATTGCCTGGTGTATTATCTGTCTGCAAAGTGCCAGCTCCCAAGAACAGATACCTAGTATCGTCAATTTCTCATGCTCCGGTGCTTTCAGCTTATCATCTAACTGAAGTAAATGATTCCCAGAAAAGATATCCATATAAGTAAGGTGACAGTTGTAAATTTTCCACACAGAGCATGTTTCAGAGTATAAGTTCTTTTGGACAGAGACTGTCATTTTCTCTATAGTAGTTGGTTCCTGATCTGCTTGGCCACTAACATATTGCTGCAATGCACATAGCAATAATAAGCTAGGAAATTATATATTATTAATACTAAAAGAGTCTCTCCATAATATTGTCCTCTCCCGTGTTCTGTTGTTGTTGTTTTTTTCCTGATGCATTTATCCAGGTCTTTCATTTCATTCTCCTTAAGCATAATTCACTTTTTTTTTCTTTCTTAGAAGAAGAAAAAACATATTTGCCATTTGCAAATGATTCTCTTCCTCAGACATATTGACCTCATCTGCATCATCCTGTGATTTTTGGGCAAAACACCTCTATATTTTCAATAAATAATGACTTTCAGCCCCTGGCGGCTTGTTCTTCCTATTCAAAGTGTGCACATTAGACAGATCCATCTCTGCAGCAGTTCCCTGCGTTTTGTCACTAGCTAAAATGTCAGATTATGGGGGTGAAACTATGCAGTTAGTGTCAGTGTTAATTGTTCCCTGGCAGCTGCATGAAGCCTAAATGTCTCTTTGGCAGACTCCTTTTTTCCTCAACTACCACCTCTCTTGCTTGGTCCATCTGCTGATGATTGGTAAACACAGCTACAAACAACTCATATTTCACACAAGTGAAGGACAGATGTGTTGAAATGTTTCCCTGTCTTAGAGGCCATTACAGGTATCCAACCATCTCTTTCCTAAATGAGACAGACACATATACTTTTGTCACAATTTCTAATGTGTTTGTGATGACGGTTGTGCTCTATAAAGCCAGATTTTTTTTAATTGAAAATTCTAGGAGTGTTCTTGTTAGACCCGTTAATTAAGATGGGAAGCATTGCTTAACAACAACATAGCATTTGGGGGATTCTCATCCCAAAACCTCCAGGCCAGAGCCCTGGAACTACTACTGTTAGGTGATTGGAAAAAGGCTTTGTGACAACCTACTTTATACTAGGGCTACACAAAATCCATAGACAGATGAAGGAAGATGGACAAAGGTCTGTCTACAATCTGTGTAGCTCAGACACATGAATTCTGCGCAAATGTGATGACAAAAATATATTTTTAAATGTGGCCCATTATGTATGATTTTTATGGTTACCTAGTTTCTATAGTAGTTTTGTTTTATGCAAAGCCCAATTCAAGTGGCAAACTTAGCTCCTCGTAACTCTCTAAACTGTTTCTATGCTGAACTGCTGAACTGTTGATCTCATTTCCTGCTATTTAATAGTGACAGAGAGCCTACGAGGAACAATACAAGTGATAATAAATAAGGATTAGTTAATACACACTGTCAACGGAGTTTGCCATTTGTTTCTATGCTGAACTGCAAACATTGTTTGCATTGAAATGCAAACAATGAAAACATCTGCAAAACTGAAATATGTTGCTTGCAACTAATATTTTGACTAGCTTTATCCAAAACATCTCTACTTTTTTGGTTGAGGACCATTGAAAAACTGGAATCTATGGTATGCATGGAGCTGCAGCATAGTGTTATTTATGCCAGCTCTGCATTCTTGTGTACCTTCAGAAGTATAGCTAAGTCTTGGACTAAGTAATTCTGAAAACATTGTGAAAATTAAGTTTTGTCATCACATACTGAATCATCCTTTTCATTGACTTTTCTCATAAATGTTTATTTCAAGAGCATAAGAGGAAACATACTCACAAAAATGTGAGTTAATGGTTACAGCAAAGGCGAGGAAAGTAGTACACAATGTAATGCTCTTTGTTAATTAGAATCCTAAACTTCTATCCTGACGACCCGCATTTTGGAACACTTTAGCTCTTCCCGTCTCCTCTAGCAGGAGTGGAGTGATGGTAAAAACTGATAGTTGCACAAGAATGCTAATAATGTCTCTGATCAATAGTTACATTCTTTTCACAGACCTTATTCATATTAAAGATTTTTTTTCCTGAATAAGGATTAGTGGGAACTACAGATTTTATCCCATTGTAAATAGTACAGGCAGTCCCCCACTTACGCGGATCCGACTTATGTCGAATCCGCACTTACGAACGGGGCTTTTTCGCCCCGGAGGTCGAGGTTGTGGATTGCTACCTGCGAGCTCCGGGGCGAGAGAGCCCCGTTCGTAAGCTGCTCCGGTGCCCCTGGTCTGCTGGAGACCGTCTCCAGCAGATCAGGGGCCCCGGGTGGGTTCCCGCGCTTCTGAGGCTTTGCAACAGCAAAG